TTTTCCTCCTACCCCAAACTATCTATCATGGTCTTTCCATCTGTCAGAAAGTTTGGCAAACCAAAACTTAGTATTGTGGGGCCCACACAAAATTCAGTTCATACTGGGGAATGCTAAATTTAAAAGCTAGTTTTTCTGGGATGTTTATAATAGAACAGTCTAGGAGAAGTTGCTGTGTGTGACCTCACCTCCATAAATGCAAGGTCCTTGTTCCAGTAACCTTTTAATGCTTTGTCTATAGAGAATCTGAAAAGTTTGTTTATCTTGAAATCCAGATAGATATTTTCAGGCTAGGCTCTGTCATTGCTCCAGTATGTCTATATAGTGATGACCCTCAAGACCCATGCAGAAAAAGTATATAACAACTGAGGTTCAACTTCATTTACTAGGTATGTTAGTCTTAAGTCACTGAAGTAGGTATTGCCAATCAGAAATCTTAAAAATTTGCATTTCTCAAACTAAATACTAGGTAGCAGATCTTTTTTTTTTTTTTTTGGTATTTTAGGGAAGGGTCTACAGCGTGTTCAGGGTCTCACTACTAGATCCAACTTGTAGTGATCTGCCTGTTTACAGCCTCCCAAGGGCTGGGATTACAGGTGGGTGCCACCACGCTCAGTCTCAATTGCTGTCTCAGCATGCCCCGGTGGCGGGGCTGACATAGCAGGCCCGGAGATTGAACCCCTGGTCCCTGCGCCTGATTGCAGGTGCTTTGATTCACTGAGCTACTTGGCTGGCCCTAGGTAGTAGATCTTTCTCTTTTTAGGTTTACTTGTCTGCTTGCTTACTTGCTTGCTTATCTTCCCTCCCTTTTTCTTTCTCCCCCCCACCCCGCATAAGGGTCTTCCCATGTAGTTCTGGCTAGCTTTAAATGTACTATGTAGCCCAGCATGGCCTTAACTCACAGTAATCCTCCTGCCTTAGCCTCATGAGTGCTGAGATTACAGGTGTGTGCCACCATGCCTACCTAGCTGGTATTTGGTTTTACATGATTCAAATGATTTTCTTTCCTTTTTTTTTTTTTTCCAAAATTTTATTGATAAATAGACAGCAATGAGACAGTTTCAAATCAAATCCGAAGTACAGTTTCAACAAATAATACACTGCATATATTCTTCTTAGTGGTTAATTGCTGTACAAGATGCAGACTTGAGATCCTATTTACAAACACCATTAGAACAAATCATTCTATTCATTAAGAGAATGCAACTATATATCTATCCTAACCACTTTGAATACACAGATACAATAAAAATTGGTGGTTTCTTTTCTTTTCTTTTTGTTTTGGCGGAACTGGGAATTGAATTCAGACCTTTGCGCTTGCCAGGGAAGCACTTATTCCACTGAGCCATCTCCCCGGTCCCTTCAAATGATTTTCTGAGTTCAGCAGAGGACAAAGAAGTGTCAAGGTCAGTGTCTACTGATACTCTGAAATCCTTATTGGTAAAAGACAGATTCTCCATTGAGCAAGCTACAAAGTTAAGAAGGTTTATTTATTTAAGTCACCTAGATGAATAAAAGTATTATGGGATCTAGAGAGATTCACCAAACATGAGGTGTTCTTAGGAACAGAATGTGAATCTGTTGAGCATCTTACTGTCATATGTCCAAGTACCAGCTCTTTTAAAATTTTGACACAGAGTCTCATTGAGTCAGTAAATAGGCCAGGCTGGGCTTAAACTTGTGATTCCTACAACAGGTACTGAAAGAGATATATTGAACAGCTTGAAATGCCCATTGGTTTCAGAAGGAGAAAGCAAAACTGCTTGTATCTTCAGGTATTGGAGTTTAGTTCTGTTATTAGGTTCCAAACTATAAAACACCTTGCCAGGGGAGCATAAGGCCTAGGCCAAAGAAGGCCTGTTTGAACCTGGATGAAGGCATGGAGAGTAAGCTTACTTCCATCCCACCTGACTGCCCTTCCCCACTGTTACTGACTACATGCAGTTGGCCAGGACCAGGTAATGTTGGTCATCTCTGACTGACTAGAATTGGGAAAAAGTGGAGCAGAGGAGAAGGACAGATCTTATTTTCTTTTCTTAGCAAGCAGCAGAGTTAAGGATTGAATTCAATCAGTTTGACTGCAGAGTCTATATTCTTAGCCATTTGGTTATACTATAGACTTTTTCTTATGTACTGTTTTTTTTTTCATAGAGATGCAGATTTTATGGAAATGAGCTTAAGAAGCAAAGACAAGTGAACCAATGAATTGAAATTACCAGATCATACGGAATGTGCTTAAGGGCCCTCCCAATCCTTTTGGGGATAATGGAGTACTTAACTGTGACTGAAGCAGTTGCCCTATCTTTTTCTGCTTAAGTTAAAAAAAAAAACCTGGAAGGAAAAGAGAGTCTAGAAGTTAGAATAATGTTTCAATTACCAAGAAAATGCATTAATTTGTTCCTCCTCACAGCTCTCTGCTAAGGAACTGATACACCTCAGCAGTGAAAAGCATGCTATCTTTGTGGAACACTGTCAAGAACACCCTCTATCTCTGTCTCAAATAATATTCACAACAGGTCACTCATACGGCAACAAATAATATAAACAAGTACAAAAATAAAGGACTCTATTTTCATCTTCTTAACAGAACTGTAAAAAATAGTCATTACTCTAAAAGTAAAAAGAAAAAATGGGGAATATAAATAGTAAGATACACTGAATTAAGAGAATAAGGAAGATTTCTACAACTTAGGATACTGGACTAAGAGATATTGTACCAGGAACATACATCCTGTGAAAGATGAAGGGTTGGATGGAGACTTACTGGTTTGATCAAGGAGGCACATAAACTCAAATTTGATTAAAAAGAGGTGGTGTGATAAAACATTAAGTGTTGGATGTATTACAGAACATTGAAATGCAGACAGTATGTTTGAACAGACAGAAGGTACACTTGGATAGTATGAAACACCTTAGAAAATGGCCCCCAAAAGGGCCCCAATATGAAACTCTTCCTCTTCTCTGGCAAAATACAGTCATCTCCAGAATTCTCTACTTCTAAAAATGGGCCTGTCATCAACCCATATCAATTGATGAACTTCTGAACCAGTCTGTTTTTCTTTTCTGTCACATTCCACAGACAATCTAACACTTGAAAATCTCTGTTTTGATTATATCAGCAGTCTCTTGTTCCTTCAAAACCTAAGCTCTCCCCCAGTTTTTTAAATTTTTTATTTTATTTTTTGAGACAGGGTCTTTCTATACTATCCAGGCTACCCTTGAACTTAGGGTGATCCTCTTGTCTCAGTTTACTAGATGTGGCAATTACAGAGGTGTGCCACCATGTCCAATTCTCATTTAGGCTTCTGTATTTAAAAAAATTAAGAACATCAAATGATTTTAGTATAAAACACCATCTTTTGATCATTTACTTTTCTAAGAAACACAACTGTGAACTTCTAAGATTATTATCCCTTATAGGACAGAAATAGTAAATCTTACTATTTATATTCCCTTTCTTTCTTTCTTTCTTTCTTTCTTTCTTTCTTTCTTTCTTTCTTTCTTTCTTTCTTTCTTTCTTTCTTTCTTTTTTTTTGCAGTACCAGAGATTGAACTCATGACCAATTTTTTTGTTTTTACTTTTAGAGTAATGACTATTTTTTTTACAGTTCCGTTAAGAAGATGAAAATAGAGTGCTTTATTTTTGTACTTGTTTATATTATTTGTTGCCAAATGAGTGAACTGTAGTGAATATTATTTGAGATAGAGATGGAGGGTGTTCTTGACAAAGTGTACCACAAAGATAGCATGCCCTGGACAGAAGAAAGCCTAAAAGTGCTTTTCTTTATATTTAATGTTGAGTTCCCTCATCATTCTATGGCTGCATAATTATGTCACTTCTGACAAGGAAAGGAAACTGACTAGAAGATTATATACAAGCTGGTTACAACAACTTTCAGGCTACCTGATGCTAACAGCTTATACTTTCTAATTTATAACTCTGAGACAAATGACCAAGTAAGCACTGTCAAACACTATCTACTTATAGCTAACTCTACTGTCTAAATTGGTTGACGTTACCTTTGGGATTATTTTCCTTCATTATAGTTTCTGATTATCCCAGGGCACAAACTGAAACCCAAGTATGTTCAAGTATGAAAGTCTGCTTGAGGACCACTTCAGGTTGCTGTAGTGCTTACATTTCTGTAGTGTCTTCTGGATGCTACACCCTTGGACAGGCTGGCCAACCAGTGGCACAAAGTAGGGGCACGTGAACAATTTTTTCACTGCCAGAATTGTTCCCTGTTCATTCTGAACACAGCTCTACAGTCAATCCAAAGATCCTAAAATCAATGGTGGCACTAGATAACTGAAATGGTACTTTTAAGTAACAGGAGTCTAAGTTTTCAATAGGTATAAGGCCTATTCTTAGGAAGTGTCCAGTGACAGAGCTTAAGGGTCCTGGCTTTCAATCTCTGGAAGGTGTGCTGGCAAAGTTTTTTCTGGGCTACTAGAAACTCATGAATTGCTCTTTCTATCTTTGGTATGAAGATGTGGTTTGGTTTTGGACCAGCCACCTGAGATATGATCCCATACACTCTTGCTTTCAGAATCCCTAAGTGAACCATACTCTATCTTAAAATCATTTTGCAGTTTCTTATTTATTGTAGGATTTCATTCCTACTTATCCAGATGTGTTGACACAAAAATATCTATTTTTGTCTCAGGTTTTAGTAAACTGGCTTGGTGCCCACATTAGCCAGGTAGTTCCTGTAGAAGCTGTCAGGCTCTGGCTTTTCAGCTGCTCCTGGCCAAGGAAGGCTGGGTTGACAGGGATGCCACCCACCTACCACACACATTGCCCCACCACTGCTGTGGTTGCCTCTGGCCATGTCTATGCCTAGCCCAAGAAAGAAGTTCAGTCTGTTTTCTTCTCTGAGGTGGAAGGCTCCATGGAGTTAGCTGTGGGGGCAGCAACAGTGGCAAAAACCTCATCTAGGCCTGTATTTTCTTTGAGACAGGGTTTTGCTATGTAGCTGAAGCTGGCCAAGAATGTACTATGGGGTTCAGGCTGACCTCAAACTCAAAGCAATCCTCCTGCCTCAGTCTCTCTAGTGCTGGAATTACAAGTATGCTGTCTCCCCCACTATTCGTCTAGGTTTTAACCATGTTTTCTCAGCCTAGAATGTTTGTTCTTCAGCTCTTAACACTTATTTTGAACTGTCTCATTGCTATTTGTTTCTCAATAAAATAAAAACAATACTTATTTTGGTTCAGAAGTTGCCTATCTAGGAAGGCTTTCCCTAAGGCTATGGTTTAAAGTATCCCCTTCTTTCCAGCTAATTTATTTTATAATTTTATTTCTGGCATATCATTCATCATTTTTTCATTAACTTTATGTATTTATCCTTTTTTCATATTTATTGTCTATCTTAACCCACTTGACTAGAAGTGTTATGAAGCCTTAGTTTTTTTTGTTATGATCCCTGTTGAACCCCCAGGGGCAAAGCAGTGTCTGATATATCTAATAAGTATAAAATATTATCTAAATACATAATTCTCTGGGAACGTCTATGGAGTTTTCCACAATATCCTTAAGTAATTAATTCATGGGTTCACATGACATCTTTTGCATTCAATTCATATTTTAACCTCTCAACTCTTATGCTAGTATTTGACAAGTGCTGGGATGCTGAGAACAGAGCTTAGACCCTGCCCTTCCTTACATCTGGATTTATACCTACCTCCTCTTAGAACACTGGTGTTCTTGATGGGCTGGTTTTATTCTTGGCTTCTTAGCACCCAAAATAGATGGTGACTGCTCACTAGACATTTGCATGAAGTAGGGCAGAAATGATACTTATAACCTCCAATTTTTATACAAAGCATACAGAACAGGCAGGATAAACAAAAATCTATAATTTTATCCTGCCCCTTCAATCTGATGATATGTGACAAAATATGTATTATGCCTATGACTGCATGGAGAAGAGAAACAAATCATAGCTCTATATTTAGTGTAGATGATGTGATAGTAAAAGAAGATAAAGAAAAGGCAGAACGACTTCTTTTGTTGTTCTCTGGAAAAGTTGCAAAAAACATAGTTTAAAAAGCAACTTACGGGCCAGCCAAATAGCTCAGCTGATTAAAGCACCTGTAAGCAGGTGCAGAGGCCATGGGTTCAATCATCAGGCCTTCTGTGCTGGCCCTGCCCCCAGGGCATACTGAGACAGCAATTGAGACTATGCATGGTAGTTTACACCTGTAATCCCAGCTCTTGGGAGGCTGTAAACAGGCGGATCACTACGAGTTCAATCTAGTAGCGAGGCCCTGAACACCCTGTAGACCCTTCTCTAAACACACACACACACACACACACACACACACACACACACACAAAACATCCCTCAAAAACAAACAAACAAAAATAAACCAACTTAAAAAAAGCCCATCTCAGGCTGGGGAGATAGCTTGGTGGTCTAAGTGCTTGCCTGGCAAGCACAAGGACCCGAGTTTGATCCCTGATATTGCATGCTGTGCTAGCCCTGGAAGCCCCGGCACACTGAGCTCGCCACCAAAACCAGGTGCAGTGGTGCAAACAAATAATCCCAGTGCTAGGGAGGCTGAGACAGGAGGATCACTGCAAATCCAAGCTGCACAGCAAGACCCTGTACCTAATAAAGAAATAAGTAAATAAAAGATAAAAAACAAACCACCTCAAGTACAAGAAAATATATAGGTGGAAAAAGAAAACATAGTGCTTTAACTAAGTTCCCAGGGGACACAAAACTCTCTGGAAAATGTTTGAGCAAAATGGGGCTTCACAATGCATGTGTGTTCCCTGTAGCAGAAGCAGGCGCCATGAAAAGAAGTCAGGACAGTGGAGTTAACTCACAATGAGGGCAGTCCCTGCCTATTAAAGATATACAGCAACATAGAAAGCTGTACTGCCAGGAGACGTGGGCAAACAGGGTGCTGACAACAGTCAAGATCATGAAGGATTTTAGGTCCTTTCTAAGTTCATGTTTTTAAGATGATCTCAACATATTCATATTCAATGAATTCATCTCAGCACTTGTGCTCTCTGTCTGTCTGTCTGTCTGTCTGTCTGTCTGTCTTAAAATAAATTACAACAGTTCCAAAACCAATGTTTAGTAACCATCAAATAAGGAAATAGTATTAGAAAAGCTTAATTCTATTCAATGTTGCTATTACCAATATTGGCTTATAAAGAGTTAATCATAGTTTAGCCAGTAGAAGGGAGAATCAATATTATTCATAAAAATCAACTGGGTAAGGATGGCCAGGAGCCTTGTGCACATCATCTTCAGTTCCAGGATTAAGATAAATTATCAAGCATGTAGGTCTTCTAGGGCACAACTGAGGTGAGGAAAAATGAACTAGGTAGATCAAGGCAGTGATTCCTAAAAGCAGCAGTGTACTGGAGTGTCTGCACTTATCTTGCATACTATACCATTGAGGTTACTTACAAATAACTGTAGTAGTGGCTCTCTTATCTATGGTAAGCTCAGTACGTTACCCGCATGGCCTCCTGAATGTGGTCCTGCCGAATTAGTTCTGCCGAGCAGTCCATATACCACTTCAAACAGCGAATGAGCTCCCTGGGAAAGAGAACAGTTACAGAAACCCCGTTTTAATCCAAAGGCAATACAGCCTGAAAGTTTTAGCTAGTTAATTAGGAAATTTATAACTAAATTAGTCAAATAGAAAATAATTTTATGCTAATGAAATACAGTAGAGTGATGGATATAGTACAGCTGTAGGATTTTTGTATCATGTGAGACAGATATTCTTCGTGCCTAAGAAATTATATTTTTAATTAGCAATTATAATCACTTTTCCCCACTCTCCTTTTCCCAAATACTTGGACTGGATATATATTTTTGTTTTTTCTGTAACTGTCATGTCTCCTGAACATACAACACTGATTATCAAATAGCAGACTTTGAGTAGCTCAGTCACTTTAGTGCTTGGCTGGTGAAAGGTCCTGAGTTTGATTCCCAGTACCAAAAAAAAAAAGGCTAAAATTCTGTGTCACCCCATTCCATCTACCTCATTTCTTGAGGTCTAAGTCACCTGTTAAGAATGAGACTAGTAGGTCAGAGGTCTACACATTTATATGAGACCACAGAGGTCAAGAGTATAGGGTGGGGTCACATGTGGGGCTTATCAGTACTTAGCTCTGAAATCTTGGGCAAATTATTTAATCTCTCTGTGCCTCATTCTTTTTACTTAAAATATGGCATGAATGACTATACATCTTCAAGTTACTGTGAAATACTAATAGAATGACACATAAAGTCCACAGCACAGTGTCTGCTCTCTAAAGTGACATCAAAATATTAAAATTTCAATGACTGCAGTGTTGCCATTACTTTTTTTTTCAAAAATTCTACTGATTTCATAGAAGAAAATTGTGACTGTTTATTGCTTTAACAATGGTAGATTACTTGTTTTTCTCATATTTATTTACTAGTTATAGTATCACTTTTGTAGACTGTCTTTTTATTTTTTGACATTTATTTCTTGGCCCTATATTTTGCTCTTCATATGTTTCTTATGGAGAAAGCAAGATTTATTTTTAATAGCTTTGCCATCATTCCTATAAGAAGAAGCATGGCAATTAGTTTAAAATATCAGCTGAAAGACCAGAGCTAATATCATTTAATCATCAAAGATTGAAAGCTTTTCCTTTAAGATTAGGAATAAAGACAATGATACGCTTTTGCCACTCTTTTTCAATCTATACTGGAAGACTAATTCAGAGTAATTAGGCAAGAAAACTAAACAAAAGGCATCCAAATTGCAAAAGGAAGGATTAAAATTCCCATTTTCAGAAGCCATGATTTTGTATGTATAAAGCACTATAAATTTACAATAAAACTGTTAGAACTAAAGTTGAAGTACATAAATTAATAACAGAAAAATTAGTTGTATTTCTAGACACTAACATTGAATAATTAAAAAAGAAAATAAGAAAACATTTCTACTTACAATAGTAACAAAAAGAATAACATACTTAGTAATAAAATTAACCAAGTAGGTAAAAGTCTTGTACACTAAAAACTATACAACATTAAAAGAATTAGAGAAGATAGCAGTAAATTGAAATATTTCATTTCACATTCATGAATTGGAACATTAAAATATCAATACTATCCAAAGTGAAGTACAGATTCTATGCAATCCTTATTAAAATTTCAGTGAATTATTATTATTATTGCTATTATTATTTTGAGACAGGGTCTCCCTATGCAATTCAAGTCAGCCTTGAGCTCACTTTGTTGCCCAGGCTGGTCTTGAACTCACAACAACCCTCCTGCTTCAGTCTCCTGAGTGCTGGGACTACAGGCACACCCAGATGCATTATTTATTTATTTATTTATTTTTTGGGCAGAACCAGGGATTGAGCTCAGGCCCTTGCGCTTGCCAGGGAAGCACTTATTCCACTGAGCCATCTCCCCAGCCCCTGCATTGTTTTTTAAAAAATAGAAAAATTCATACTAAGATTCATGTGGAATTTCAAGGCACCTGGGATAGCCAAAAAAGTCTTGAAATAAAAGAACAAGGTTGGAGGTATTACCCTTCCTAATTTTAAAACTTAGTACAATGCTACTATAATTTAAAAAAATGTTGTGAGGCTGAACAGAAGTATCCTTCCAATAGCTGTATGAAAGAAGGGCCAGAGCAATAAATGAGAAACTATACTTTGAGGAGATAAAGAGAACTTAGGGGAACTCATAAAGAAGTGATAGGAATCCTAAAGAGCTTGGAGAATGGGAGACAAATCAGAGAACTAAAAAGGCAATCCAGAGAAAAAAAGTAATTTTCCACTTGAACCCACCTCCATGGTGATGGCAGTGGGGACATAGAGAATATGATACTACAGGTATAAGGTAAGTTGGGAAGTACAAATAATAGGTAGCCAGCCAGCAGTCTCAACTTAAAAGCTTTAAATCCAGTTCAGGGATTTGGGCTAAGAGTGATTCATTCCTCTACTTCAAAGAATGCACTCTGTACTTCTCTCTACTCTACAACTCAAATTCCTACAACAGCAACTGCTACATGTCATCTCTATCGAGGCAGTGGGAGGACAGCACATGCCCTATGAGAAGACTTGAGTTGGTACGTGCCTCACTGGGTGGAAAATAATGACCTACAACTTTAGAACAGTGGCTTCCATGGCTATAATCCTGACAAGGGACTACAGCCACCACTGTAGAATCCTGATTTTATCCACACTTGTGCATCTGTAGATTGTAAAACTCCTAGCCAAGCCTTGTGCCGCTGCTCGTGTTTCTTACTGCACTCTATGGAGGCTCTACCTCAGCCTCAGGATGACATATACAGTTGCAAGGCTCTAGTCTCACCCGTGTCTTTGTGTACAATGGTGGGAAAAGTTCCAACCAAGCTTTGTGGCTCCAAATTCTATCAGTACGTTCTCCCCTGGTGTGAGTTAAGAGAAGGCCTTCTGTACTCCATAGACTCCAGACAATGGAAATTTCTGTAAGATCCCTATTTCACTCATGTCAATGCCCAGGAAACTGGAAGGGCTCCTGATATGAGTTTCAGCTTTACAAATGTAACCAGGGGTGCAACTACTGTCAACACCTGCATATGACTAGTAGGATTGAGGAAATTTCTCCTAATTAGCCTACAATCTTAGGAGTGAAGGTGCCGATTCAGAAAGTCTCATCACCACTCAAACTTGTCTCTAGAGACTAGAGGAAGGGAAATCCATATTCTTCAGTTTCAGGATGCTATTTAGTAAAACTGCAAGAAAAAAAAGATATGTGTATATGTCAGTATTAATGACACAACAAATATTGAAGGAAATATATGCCTTCAGAGAAGAATAATTCTCCAGAAATAGGTATGAGTTTGATGGAAATCTATGAAATATTGAAAAGACAATTTAAGATAATGATCCTCAAGGAATTCAGTGAAATGCAAAAGAATGTGGATGAACAGTACTAACAAATGTGAAAAACAATGCATGATGTGAATAAGAAATTAACTACAGAGATAAATAAAGAACCAATAAGAAATCATGGAACTGTAATCAATAAAATGAAAACTACAATATAGAACTTTCATAATAGATTAGAACAAGCCAAAAATATTAGTACTTGATAAATTAATACATTAAAACAATTGAGAAAGAGATAGGAAAACAGAAAAAAAACCCATAAAGAATGTAGAAAACCTACAAGACATAAAAGATGCAGTCAAGCAACCAAATATATATAGTGTAGGAAGTCCAGAAGACAGAGAAAAGGGGAAAGGCACCAAAAACCTATTTTTATGAAATTATAGCTAAAACTTTCCAAATCTTAAAAGAGATATGAGGGGGCTGGTGAGATGGCTCAGTGGTCTAAAGCACCTACTTAGAACAAGCTTAGCAAAGCTCAGGGACTGCGGTTCAATTCCCCAGCACCACATGCCGTCCAGCCCCGCCCCTGGAGGGCTGAGCTGGCCACACACACACAAATAAAATAAAAATTAAAAAAAAAAAAAGAGATATGAGGACATACAGATGCAAGAAGCTCAAAGGGTCCCAGGTAGATTCAATCAAAATAGATCTTCTCCAGGGCACATTATAGTCAAAATGTCAAAAATATAAGACAAAGGGAACCCTAAAGACAGCAAGGCAAACTCAGTAAGTCAATATAAAGGAAGATCCATTAGACTTATAGCAGATTTCTCAGTAGAAAAATTTCAGTCCAGAAGTAATGGGGATAATAAATTCAAAATACTGAAAGAAAGCAAGCATGCAAGCTTCTAATCAGAATACTATACCCAGAAAACTGAAAGAGAAGTAGTCTTTCCCAGATAAGCAGAGACTGAGACAATTCATCACCACACTAGCCCTATGAAAAATGCTTAAGAGAGCCCTTTATTAGAAATACAGGATGGTAACTACTAATATAAGTGTTTTTATAAGATCTGATTAAAAAATATGGTGAAGCTGCTGCTGATGTCACCCAATGGAAAGGTAGCCTTGGAAAAAATTTATTTTATTTTATTGAGAAACAAATAGCAATGAGACAGTTTCAAAACTGATTAATAGGACAGTTTCAAGAATGAATACATTGTACATTGTTATCTTCTTAGTGGTTATCCATAGTACAAGATGCAGACAGGATATCTTGTCCAAACACTATTACTACAAATCTTTCTTCTCATTGAATTAAGCGAAAGTAGCTGTATATCTATCCTAACTGTTCTGTATATACAGATACAAAATGGTCCTTCCTTTATATCCCCTTTTTTTGTTTAGCCCTGTCAGAGATGGGCATTCCATTGGCATCTAAATAGTATAGCTGTGAGAATTCAGCAAAACAATCCAACATAGTCCAGCAGTTCACAATAGTAGTGGGTTATCCACAGAAGTTGTTGACTAGAGCCTTTTACAGCTCAGCATATTAATATGGCTTTACTTTGTATACCTCATTTTTGTACTTTTCTTCTGGATGGTAAAGACCAAGATAAAGCAAGACCTATATAACAAGAAATGTAACTTTTGTATCTAATAAAGTCAGTCAAGTTCCCTCAGAATTTATCTTGTAACCTTGTACCACAGTTTGCAGATCCTTTGTCA